TGCGAAGCGGCTTGTGCACCGTTTCCTCACCCCGGCTCCGCGGCTGGGAAAGAGCCCGGGGCTCCCGAGAAAAGCGGCGTTTGATCGCTTTGGGTTTTGCTCTCCGTACCCGGGACCGACGGAGCCGAGTGGCAGGGGGGTTTGGGGAGACGCAGCGCGGTCGGGGGTCGCGGAGGGTCCCGGGCACCTGGCTGCCGGCCTCAGGCGGCTGCCCCAGGACGAAGAGGGGGGGCATCGCCTTCCTCTCGGCTGTAATTTAAAGACCAGCCCCGTCGCAGTCTCCGCAAGCCCCGCAGCCGTAGCTGGAGTGGGGGGGAGGGCGGAGGCTGCAGCCCCAGGCAAAAGCAGCCCCGTCCAAAGCTGCCCCTCTCGCCCCGGGCCGAGCAGGAGGATGATGAGGGGCCAGGGGGAGCCGCAGCTTTGCTCCCCAGCCGTGTCAGCCCCTCCTGGAGCGGGGCAGCGCCGGGGCCGGTGGAGTGGGCTGCGGAGGGGCCGGCCCTGCACCCTGCAACCCGCTCCCCCCTCCTCCCCCCGACACGCCGCGCTTTCCCCCGCTTCTCCCCCCTGCCCTCTGCTCGCCCAGCTCCGGCTGCCCCGTGGGGATCACCCCCGCCGCACCCCCCAGGCCCGGTCCCTCCCGGGGTCCGGGATGCGCCCCGCGAAGGAAGGAAGGAAGGAAGGAAGGAAGGAAGGAAGGAAGGAAGGAAGGAAGGAAGGAAGGAAGGAAGGAAGGAAGGAAGGAAGGAAGGAAGGAAGGAAGGAAGGAAGGAAGGAAGGAAGGAAGGAAGGAAGGAAGGAAGGAAGGAAGGAAGGAAGGAAGGAAGGAAGGAAGGAAGGAAGGAAGGAAGGAAGGAAGGAAGGAAGGAAGGAAGGAAGGAAGGAAGGAAGGAAGGAAGGAAGGAAGGAAGGAAGGAAGGAAGGAAGGAAGGAAGGAAGGAAGGAAGGAAGGAAGGAAGGAAGGAAGGAAGGAAGGAAGGAAGGAAGGAAGGAAGGAAGGAAGGAAGGAAGGAAGGAAGGAAGGAAGGAAGGAAGGAAGGAAGGAAGGAAGGAAGGAAGGAAGGAAGGAAGGAAGGAAGGAAGGAAGGAAGGAAGGAAGGAAGGAAGGAAGGAAGGAAGGAAGGAAGGAAGGAAGGAAGGAAGGAAGGAAGGAAGGAAGGAAGGAAGGAAGGAAGGAAGGAAGGAAGGAAGGAAGGAAGGAAGGAAGGAAGGAAGGAAGGAAGGAAGGAAGGAAGGAAGGAAGGAAGGAAGGAAGGAAGGAAGGAAGGAAGGAAGGAAGGAAGGAAGGAAGGAAGGAAGGAAGGAAGGAAGGAAGGAAGGAAGGAAGGAAGGAAGGAAGGAAGGAAGGAAGGAAGGAAGGAAGGAAGGAAGGAAGGAAGGAAGGAAGGAAGGAAGGAAGGAAGGAAGGAAGGAAGGAAGGAAGGAAGGAAGGAAGGAAGGAAGGAAGGAAGGAAGGAAGGAAGGAAGGAAGGAAGGAAGGAAGGAAGGAAGGAAGGAAGGAAGGAAGGAAGGAAGGAAGGAAGGAAGGAAGGAAGGAAGGAAGGAAGGAAGGAAGGAAGGAAGGAAGGAAGGAAGGAAGGAAGGAAGGAAGGAAGGAAGGAAGGAAGGAAGGAAGGAAGGAAGGAAGGAAGGAAGGAAGGAAGGAAGGAAGGAAGGAAGGAAGGAAGGAAGGAAGGAAGGAAGGAAGGAAGGAAGGAAGGAAGGAAGGAAGGAAGGAAGGAAGGAAGGAAGGAAGGAAGGAAGGAAGGAAGGAAGGAAGGAAGGAAGGAAGGAAGGAAGGAAGGAAGGAAGGAAGGAAGGAAGGAAGGAAGGAAGGAAGGAAGGAAGGAAGGAAGGAAGGAAGGAAGGAAGGAAGGAAGGAAGGAAGGAAGGAAGGAAGGAAGGAAGGAAGGAAGGAAGGAAGGAAGGAAGGAAGGAAGGAAGGAAGGAAGGAAGGAAGGAAGGAAGGAAGGAAGGAAGGAAGGAAGGAAGGAAGGAAGGAAGGAAGGAAGGAAGGAAGGAAGGAAGGAAGGAAGGAAGGAAGGAAGGAAGGAAGGAAGGAAGGAAGGAAGGAAGGAAGGAAGGAAGGAAGGAAGGAAGGAAGGAAGGAAGGAAGGAAGGAAGGAAGGAAGGAAGGAAGGAAGGAAGGAAGGAAGGAAGGAAGGAAGGAAGGAAGGAAGGAAGGAAGGAAGGAAGGAAGGAAGGAAGGAAGGAAGGAAGGAAGGAAGGAAGGAAGGAAGGAAGGAAGGAAGGAAGGAAGGAAGGAAGGAAGGAAGGAAGGAAGGAAGGAAGGAAGGAAGGAAGGAAGGAAGGAAGGAAGGAACCTGCAGCATATCTTGATCATCTTGCCAAAGTACTGGAAGGATTTGCTTCAGCAGGGGAATGGCTTTTTTGCAACATGATTCGTTAGTTCAGTATGTTTTAGGGGCAAATACACATTCTCCTTATGATTTTCAAATGTTTGTGTATGCGTGCTTATGCCTTAACGACGATTTAATTGCTGCAGTATTGCACAGCCCATTCACCAGCACGGTCACCCAGAGGTGCCTTCCAAAAGTTGTTTCACACCCCGGTCTAAATGCCCACCCACCCCCTCCTTCCCCAGTCACTACTCAGCTTGCGACTCGGGGGGAATCGCCTTCTCCGTGTTTGTTCAGGTCCCTCCCGTTCACCCCATCCGCGTGGGGCGGAGGGCCAGGGGTTCCCGTCCGGGGGGTGCAGAACCCACTCCCATGTGCTGAGCCGGGGGAGGGTCGCTGCCAGCCGCCAGCTGCGCTCCCCGGAGGGTCCCGCTCCCCTGTCCGCACCCCACGCCGCGCTACTTCCCACGGAGCACCGCCTCCCGGCGTGGCAGAGCTGCCTTTCCCAGCCCCGTTCAGCTCGCCATCTCCCTCCCGGAAAAGGGCTGACAGCTGGATCTCCAGGAAAACAAACAAACAAACAAAAAGTTATTGCCCCTTTTCCACCTATAAACGCAACGCCTCCCCACCCCAAGCGAGCTGTGCCCGCCGTGGGCTGTCGGGCCGTCCGTCGGCTGCCGATCCCCGCCCGGTGCGACACGGGGCAGCCCGGCAGCTCGTCACGCACCGGGGGACGTTTGGGCAACCGCTGCCGTGTTGGTCGCGAGTGCCGAGGCGGGGCGGCTCCGGACCCACGCGGGGAGATTCGCCAGCCTCCCCCGGCTGGGTCAGAAAAGTCGTGGCAAACCCCAAAGAGGTCAAATCCGGCGCCTTTTCTCAGCTTCCAGTCTCAGACAAAGGCGAAACAGGCAGCTTGTAATTAATTTTTTATTTTATTTGGAAATGTCATCCAGAAACACTGGTCAATAATAAATATATCGATAGTTATCAAGAATATATAAAAAATAAAGACACGGTGTTGTCTTCGAGGCCCTAAACAAAAGCAAGCAAACAAGCAAACGAAGTTAATTATAACAGTATTTCAAGCGAATGCCCAGGAAAACGTACCGAAAAGGAAACAAACAGCAACAGAGCTTCCGATTTAGTTATACAAGTCACTGATCCGGCGAGAGCCTACTCCGCATGCAAAACCAAATCAAACTAAAGCAGAAAAAAAAAAAACAACAAAAAAATAGAAAAAGCAGCAAACCAGAACAAGCCCAAAGCCAGCAAGAGAAATAAGCGACGAGGACTCTAGCCAGCTGAACTAGCACACTTCACCAAGAGAGCAGGAGATGTGAGACTTGGCAAAACACACCCGCAGGAGGGGTTGTGTTGTGTTTTGCACCGTTTCCTTTTTTTTTTTTTTTTTTTTTTTTTTTTTTTTAGCGGACACAGAGGGAAAAGAACGGCAAACAAAACCGCATCTCAACCAAATCTGAAAAACAAAAACAACGCCAAAAGGAAAAAAAAAAAAAACCACACACAAAAAACACAAAAAAAAACCAAGCCCCCCCAAACTTTAGTGAATTGACTCGGAAGTCCCTGTTGCCAGGGAAGCCGCCCGTGGCCGGTGCCCACGGGTGGGGCGGGGCGGTGGGAAGCCTACGTGCCCTCCCTGGGCTGACTCGGGCCGCCGCTGCGCTGCCGCTGCCGCAGCCGCCTTTGGGGCGGGAGGTTTCGGAGGTGTCGCCGTGCGAGAGAAAAGAAAGGAAAAGCCCGCAAAAAGAAGAAGCTCCAAACCGATCTCATCGTCTCTTAGTAGCCTGCGAACACTACACTGACAACCATGTCTTTTTTTTTTTTCTTTTCTTTCTTTCTTTCTTTCTTTCTTTCTTTCTTTTCTTTCTTTCTTTCTTTCTTTCTTTCTCTTTCTTTCTTTCTTTCTTTCTTTCTTTCTTTCTTTCTTTCTTTCTTTCTTTCTTTCTTTCTTTCTTTCTTTCTTTCTTTCTTTCTTTCTTTCTTTCTTTCTTTCTTTCTTTCTTTCTTTCTTTCTTTCTTTCTTTCTTTCTTTCTTTCTTTCTTTCTTTCTTTCTTTCTTTCTTTCTTTCTTTCTTTCTTTCTTTCTTTCTTTCTTTCTTTCTTTCTTTCTTTCTTTCTTTCTTTCTTTCTTTCTTTCTTTCTTTCTTTCTTTCTTTCTTTCTTTCTTTCTTTCTTTCTTTCTTTCTTTCTTTCTTTCTTTCTTTCTTTCTTTCTTTCTTTCTTTCTTTCTTTCTTTCTTTCTTTCTTTCTTTCTTTCTTTCTTTCTTTCTTTCTTTCTTTCTTTCCCCTTTTGCATCCATTTTAAGGAATTATTTACATTTGATCACCGTCAGCGGCATTATTATTAATTATTATTATTATTATCATCATCATTATTATTATTAATATTTTTACAACAGGGACTTTTTTTTTTTTTTTCCGGTTTAGTATAATAAGAAAACACCGCCCGAGGAGCCGGCTAAAACATTACCTTTGCAAGGTCCTTACTACACTAATCCCGTGTTACAAGGGGGGTTGGAGGGGCGGGGGGCAGCGGGGGCAGGTCCGGCGGCGGCGCGGGGGGGGGGCCGGCCTCAGCCCCCTCCCCGCCCGTGGGACCGCCGGCTCCGGCGCAGCCCCGGGGGCCGGGGGGTCCCCGCCGAGTCACTTCAGGAGGTCCTTGGTCTCCCCCGAGATCCTGGCCATGTTGGAGGCGGTGAGGGCCGAGAGGTGGGGCGGGGGGGGCATCTGGCAGATGGTGCAGGGGCACGGCAAGCCCGCCCAGTGCTGGAAGCCGCTGCCGAGCTGCAGGGCGGGAGGGGTCGAGGGGGTCTTGAGCAGGGAGTGGGGCGGCCGGATGGTGCCGATGGCCGGCAGGGAGGCGGAGAGGGAGGAGGAGGTGTTGGCGGAGGACAAGGCACTGCCGAGGATCGGGTGCACCTGGTGCACCGTGCCGGCGGCGTGGGGAGGGTGCCCGGCGGAGTGTCCCACCGTGCCGCAGTGAAAGGCCGAGTGGTGCCCCCCGTAGATCTCCCCCACCAGCCTCTTCATCTCCTCCAGGGAGCTGGTGAGCATCAGGATATAGTTTCTGGCCAGCAGGAGGGTGGCGATTTTGGAGAGTTTTCTCACGGAAGGTCCGTGGGCGTAGGGCATCACCTCCCGCAGCCCGTCCATGGCGAGGTTGAGGTCGTGCATCCTCTTACGCTCCCGACCGTTGATCTTGAGCCGCAGCTGCTGCAGGTCCTGCTCCGAGAGCTGCTTCTTGATTTTGTACTTGCTGCCTTCCCCTCCAGCCTTGGAGCCGTTCCTGGAGAGGCCTTCCCCAGACATCTTCTGCACCAGGTCGTTCTGGGTGGAGGAGACGGAGTTTAGCCGGCTGTCTTGGTGGTGGTGATGGTGGTGGTGGTGGTGGTGGTCTCTCAGGTACATCTCATCCATGTCTGGCGAGGAAGCTCTGCTGGAGACAGAGCTGGAGTCAGAATTCATTGTATTCGGGCTTCTGAGCAAGAAACTCTTCCCTGCTCTGGAGGTGGAGGAACAAGACAACTCTCCTTCAAAAAGCAACGAAAACGGAACGAAAAAGAAATAAACGGACAGCAGGCTCTGCCAGCGAAGGGCTGGAAATGCTGGAGGAAGGGGAAAAAAGCCCCTCAGCCCCTTCTCTCACCAGTCTCTCCTCTCTCTTTCCCCCAGTTACTCAGCCTGTTTACAGGATAGCTAGTTAGTGTATGCTTGGACTAACCTCAGCCTGAAAAAGAGGGGCTTTTATAGAGCTGCAGCAGAGAGCAGAGACAAAAGGAGCCCTCCTATGTATAATGGTCTAGTTAGGATGACGTGCCATTATTCAGGGCGGTGCGCTTTGACTGTCCCATTTAGCAAGGACCCCTATTCATATTCATTGTGGTGCCACCCGGGACACCTCAGCCACGGACCATCAGGAGTCAAGGAGACACAAAACCCCTCTGATTGACACCGCACACTCATCGCTCCGTGTGCGCGCCACCTCCTCCCCCTGCCCCTCATTTCCAATATAAAACCACATCCCGTCTACAGTAGGGAGGCAAAGGGCTGCGGGGGGCTGAGGGGGCTGCGGGGGGCTGCGCGCCTGCTCAAGGCCGGCGAGGAAACCCCGGCCGCGGGTGGCAGCGGGCAGGAGCTGCCCGGGGAAGTCCCCCCGCCCCGGCGGGGCGGGGGGACGTCGGTGGACCCCCATCCTGCAGCGTGCCCGGCTCCAGGCGCGGCTCCCCGCTTTGTTTGCCTTTCCCTTCCCTTCCCGCCCCCCCCCCGCCCCCCACACACACCGCCCCAGTGTCGTGTCGTGTCCCCCCCCCCCCCACTCCCCCCACGGCCGGGGTTTGTGGTATGGCACCGGCTGGCCCTCGCCCGGCCCGGCTGGCCGCAATTGGCTCGTACCTGGGTCGCCGCTTTGTTTAAATGAGCGATTACTCGGGCAGCCGGCGGGCAGCCTCCGCGGGAAGATGCGCGCTGGGAAACCCGCCTCCCCCCCGGGCCGGCGACTCCCTTTAAATAAACGGGGAAAGCCGGGGTGCGGCGGCAAGTCGGTGTGCTGGGCGGCGGGAGGGGCGGCCGGGCGGGAGGGGAGGGCCGGCTCGGGGGCGGGCGGCAGCCCCCGGGGGCTCCGCTCGCCCCGGGCTCCGGCGGGAGGGAGCAGCCGTCGGCGGGACCGAGAGGGCTGGCCGCCGGCGGGAAGGGAAGGGAGCCGGCCCCGGGGGGCTGCGCGGCAGTACGGCCCCGGGCGTTCGCGCCAGTAAGTAAACCGGCTCCGGGCACCGACTGCAGCCTGCGCGGGACCTTCTCCTGCCGGCGGCGGGGCAGGAGAGGGAGGGGAGGGGGGAGCGTGGGGACGGGCAGGTCGGGGAGCTGCCGGGGAGGGCTGGCGGGGCACCCGGAGCAGGTGTCACCCCCTTAGATCTCGGCGCGCCGGGCGCCAGTTCTGCCTCTGCCCCGGGGGCGGGCGGAGCCGGCGTGGCCGTCTGAGGGGCGCTGCACGGCTGGGGGGGGGCGAGGGTCGTGTGTGTGTCCCCCCTCCAGACACGGTGGCAGGAGCAGGCTGCCCGAGCCGTGTGCGCGCCCGCGGAGGGGAACGCGGTCGGTCCTCCGCCGGGTCTTCCCGGGCCCCGCTGGTGCCGAGGCGGTGAGTGGGGGGCTGCCGGCCGGGACGGGGCGGGGGGGCCCTGGCGCCCCCGGAGCCGGCCCGAGTGCCCTCGCTTTCCGGGAGGGGGGCCGTCGGGCTGAGTTTGCACCTGCCAACAGGCGCGTAAGGCCCAGGAGGAACCTCCTTGGCAGGACCTCGCTCCTCCGTAAAGAGACTCCGGGCCCCGAGGAGAACGAGGAGCCAGGAAAAGAGGGACACTTTCATCTGACTGCGTCTCACTGTGCTCAGCGAAATGAAAGCGTTCCGATTTCAGTACTGTCAGTAAATCCTGCGGTGAGAGAAGAGAAGGGAAGAGAAGGGAAGGGAAGGGAAGGGAAGGGAAGGGAAGGGAAGGGAAGGGAAGGGAAGGGAAGGGAAGGGAAGGGAAGGGAAGGGAAGAGAAGAGAAGAGAAGAGAAGAGAAGGGAAGGGAAGGGAAGGGAAGGGAAGGGAAGGGAAGGGAAGGGAAGGGAAGGGAAGGGAAGGGAAGGGAAGGGAAGGGAAGGGAAGGGAAGGGAAGGGAAGGGAAGGGAAGGGAAGGGAAGGGAAGGGAAGGGAAGGGAAGGGAAGGGAAGGGAAGGGAAGGGAAGGGAAGGGAAGGGAAGGGAAGAGAAGAGAAGAGAAGAGAAGAGAAGAGAAGAGAAGAGAAGAGAAGAGAAGAGAAGAGAAGAGAAGAGAAGAGAAGAGAAGAGAAGAGAAGAGAAGAGAAGAGAAGAGAGACAAATTAGGAGAACATATCAGAAATAAATGAACGTGACCTCGTTTTATCCCGCTTCCACCGCGAAATCCGTAAACCCACCCAGAATTTTCCCCCAGCTGGGAGGTCTGCCGGGCAAACAGGCAGGACACTTGGCCGGGCCCGGAGCCCCCAGCGCCGTCCGCTCCCGCGGAGCCAGGCTCCGCCGGTCTCCGCACCCCGCGGGGACGCTCTCCAGGGGGTCCCGGGGGCTGCCCGCTTCTCCCTCCGCCCTTCCCTCCCGCGGAGCCGGGTTGAAGCAAATGAGAAAACCTTGGCACGGTGGCGGAGGCAGGAAAACGTGCAGGGTCGGAGGAAGACCCCGGCCTCGGGGGCGGCACCTCCCACCCCCCGGACCCGCGTCCGCCGCTCCGGAGGGGACGCGCAGCTCGATTTGGGGGAGTTCAAGTCGGACGGGTACGGAGAAGAGGAAGGCGAAAAGATGCCGTCGGGGGGAAAGCAACAGGAGGGATCCCATCCCCCCAGCCGCAGGGCGGGCTGCTCCGGCCAGCCCCGCTCCCCTCCGGGTCTGGGGCTTCATCGGAACGGGGCCGGGGGGCGACACCGGCCTACGGAGCCGGCGGTGCGCGGCGGGGCGGAGAGGGGCGGGCGCTCGGACGGGGGGGGAAAGGTCGGATCGTCACTCGGAGGAATATTACGAATATTTCCTCTCTCCCCCTTTCCGGCGGTGTTCCCCAACGCCCCCGGCTCGGCTGGGCGGGCCAGTCCCGCCTGCGCGGCCGCGCATCCGCTTCCCGGGACGGGGCGGCGGGGCTCGGCTCTGCTCAGATTCGCTTTAGGGCAAAGGAAGGGTTCGGGAAAGTAACGCGAGGTGAAATCCCGGGCACAGGGACCGTCGCCAGGGAAGTCGTTTCGGAAAAGGGCAGCACTGCTGCAGCGCGATCGCGGATCCTAACATTGCCTGGCGCGTCCGGCCTTTCCCGCTGCCTTCCTTTGCCGCTGTTACTTTTTGCTGATGCTGGAGACAAATAGAGGGAGAGAAAGAAAAAGAAAGAAAGAAAAAGAAAAAGAAAGAAGAAAGAAAAGAAAGAAAGAAAGAAAGAAAGAAAGAAAGAAAGAAAGAAAGAAAGAAAGAAAGAAAGAAAGAAAGAAAGAAAGAAAGAAAGAAAGAAAGAAAGAAAGAAAGAAAGAAAGAAAGAAAGAAAGAAAGAAAGAAAGAAAGAAAGAAAGAAAGAAAGAAAGAAAGAAAGAAAGAAAGAAAGAAAGAAAGAAAGAAAGAAAGAAAGAAAGAAAGAAAGAAAGAAAGAAAGAAAGAAAGAAAGAAAGAAAGAAAGAAAGAAAGAAAGAAAGAAAGAAAGAAAGAAAGAAAGAAAGAAAGAAAGAAAGAAAGAAAGAAAGAAAGAAAGAAAGAAAGAAAGAAAGAAAGAAAGAAAGAAAGAAAGAAAGAAAGAAAGAAAGAAAGAAAGAAAGAAAGAAGAAAGAAAGAAAGAAAGAAAGAAAGAAAGAAAGAAAGAAAGAAAGAAGAAAGAAAGAAAGAAAGAAAGAAAGAAAGAAAGAAGAAAGAAAGAAAGAAAGAAAGAGTAAAAAAATAAAAGAGAAAGAAAGAAAGAAAGAGTAAAAAAATAAAGAGAAAGAAAGAAAGGGGGAAAAAAAGAGAAAAAGAGATAGGTAAATAAATATATTTAAAATAGATAAAAAGACTTGAAAGGGAGAAAGAAAAGAAGAAAGTGAGAGAAAGAGAAGGAAAGAGAGAAAGGAAGAAGGGAAGAAAGGAGGAAGGAAAGAAAGGAATGAAGGGAGAAAGAAAGGAAGGGAGAAAGAAAGAAGAAAAGAAAGAAGAAAAGAAAGAAGGATAAAAGGAAAGGTCTCAGCGCAGCAGAGCGGTGCATGGGAAGTGCCACTCGTGGGAGCAGGCAGGTGGGAGGAGAGCCGCCCGGACACTTGCTGGCAGATCCCGCGGGGAGCGGCGGGGCCGGCCCGGGCCGTGGCGGTGGGTGCGCTCGGCGGGGCGGGGGGGCGGGCCGGGGGGCGGGGGGGCTGCGCTGGCTGCGGTCGGCGAGTGACGGGCAGGGGCGTTTCGGAGAGGGCTGCGGAGGAGCTCCGGGCGTATCGCCGTCCCGGTTCAGTCAAAACTTCGCCCGACATCGGTAGCAACGAAATTAACCCCCGGGAGTGAGAAAATCAAACGTTTTCCTAATCGGGGTGTAGGAGAAGGACTAAAGAGGTGGCTGGGTGGTAGCAAAATCAGATTAACATGCACCCCTCCGCCTTTTAATTCCTGCTTTCCTAAAGGTGAGGGAGGGCAGTGCGTTTTCTCTGGAAAGACAGACTGCTGGGGAGCACGCAGAGGATCAGGTGGGAGAGCACCGCTCACCCGACCCCGCGCCCCGCGCCCCGCACCCCGCACCCCGCACCCCACCAGACCGCTCGTAGCCCCAAGCGTGAGGGTTGCGGCGCGACTGGCCGCTGGTGGCTCACAGGACGGATTTGGGGGTTTTAGAGGCTTCTTGGAATGGAAATGGTGCGTTTTCAAACCTCGGGGTTTAATAAGGGGATGCACTTTAAGGCAGTGCCCGGTTTTGAATTCTCAGAGAGTTTGGTACAGAAACTGGATGTACTTTTCTCTTGATAGCGT